AGTTATGTAACTGAAATCTGAGCTCATCGCTGACTGCTCAGAGAACAAGGGGCTGTTGCAGACTGAAAAAAAAAACAGACTTGCCATCATCTTTCTGTGTACAAACTCCAGGCTAAATACAAAGAAAACTGAGACAAGAATGCTGCTCGCTGTAAGAGAATCTACCTTCAGTAAGAAGCTGCTTGGGAGCACAGAGAGTGCATCACATCCTTTTTCACTCTGCTGATGCTTGTTGTCCATTTCAGTAAATCCCACTTGTAACATCAGAGGAAAATTCATACACACACAAAAGATAAAAAGTGTTCATTCAGTTTTGAAGTAGTCTTCTGTCCCTTTCAAGTCCTATCTTTACACCATGGAGCAGTGATACACTTAAGGCTGAGGCATCTAGCCTTTACAGGGGTCTCCAGTTTCTCAGTGAGAGCTGGAGTGTTCATTCATTTTTAACTTAGGAAAATATACATTTCTGCACAAAAGTATGACAACTGAGTTAAGAATATAAGTAAGAAGGTGCACAGGGACAAAATGAGTCACGGCAGTGGGAGGATACAGCATGGGAACGTGACTTTTAGTCTGGCAAATTTCTTAACCTCAGTGAGTGTTTTCTCTGGCTTTTTACATGAGGGAGCGAGAAAAAAAAACAGTCAGCAGACCTCAGTATAATTTCTTCAGAAAAAAAACCCTAAAATGTTGACCTACCAGCTTTCTTGTGTAATTTGACCCAGCTCAACAGTTTGGTAAGTGCAACCTGCCGGCATTTCCTCTCAAAAGGCTTTTTTGTAAAGTCCATCTGCAGAGTCAGCTCCAGGGTATCTCTCTTGCGCTTTGCAATGAACCTTTTCCACTTCCTGTCACCCAACAAGAAACAGCTCATCATTAATTCAGCAAACAGGGAGGCAGGCTGTCAGGAGCCAGGCTTAACTAACAAAGGATGGGAATCAAGTAACAAAAAAATAATAATTTATATAATTCACAATTTATAAAACAGTTTGTTATGATTATAATTTCAGCCAAATCTGAACTGACAAAGACTGGCCGAGTGAAACAGAACACCCTGATGACTTTACCTACTTATTACTTATTAACAGTGAGAGAAAGTCTTTAGGTTCTCTGAAGTTGAGTTACTGTTTCGCAGTTAAAATGCAACCAGAACTAATTCACTGTGCACCACCAGTCTGAGGACCTGCAAGAACTAACTCAGCAGCAGCTGCTTTCAATAACTTCGATTGCAATCAGTGGAAGCAGAATGTGAGAAGGTTTTGTGTCCCCTCTGGTACCTTTCCTGCCACTGTGGCTTCACTCAGAGCATGAGTGATTATTTTGCTGGTTAGAAGCTTTAATCATTATTCTGCTGCAGGTAGAGTCTGTGGTTGAACTCACCCTCATGGCTCTTTCATTCAGGTAAATATAAATGTCATTTTATTCTCTGTTCTTTTAGATTTTTAGTATTTCAATTTTTATTTTTATTTTCATTTCCAGGCTCTCCTGGCTTTGCACTCTGTTGTGGAGCTGCTTGTGCTTTCCTCCTCAAGAAGGTATGAATTCCAGTACTTTCATTTGCATAACTGACCACGAGTTTAATGCGATGTTTATTTCCTGATAGGTTACAGTACTGCACATGGCTACTATCTCTATGAGAGCCCCCAAACCTCTAGCGCATTTCATTCTGGACAATCTTTGAATACAAACAATGAGAATGTTGGACGGCAAAGCTTTGTTTCCCGTCAGCCAGAAGCATTTATTTACGATAAAGGACAGGATGTTAACGCTGAGATGAAGCAAAGCCAGCCTGATAAATTTCACGGGGCCTCTTCTGCTCCTCTTAAAGGGCAAAATGAGCAGTCTGGTTATCACCATCCCTTTGACCTGTTAGTGAGGGGACACACGCAGGAGCCTGTGAAGGGTGTCGCTTTTCCCACAATGAGTCATTTAAAGGAGTTTATAGAAAACATGAAGCGTTCCTTCTTAGTACCAGGAAGTGACTTGAGTAGACATTTTGAAACTGCACGGGAAAAAATGAAAACTCTCGGAACATCCATGGACTATGGACCAACTCCTGACAAAGGAGGTACTGCCTCTGGTGACAGCAGGAAAAATAACAATCGGATTGAAGAAGGTGCCAACTACCAAACGCCAAATAAACGCCTCTCTTTCCCTGATCCTTTCGACTCCTCTGCAAGACTCATTTCTTCCAATGTTTATGACAACCAAAAATTTAGGCCGGGCACCACTTTCTACCCACACGATCATTTAGCAGCCACAGGTCTTGCTTCAAGAAATTTGGCGCACGGTTTTCCCTGGGGAAACAATGACTTATCTGTGAGTGTGGAGTCAGAACGACACAAACCACCAGAAAAAACACAATTTCCCTCCAGCTCCTTTCACGGGCACGGTTCTTCCTATAGTGAACATATGACTGCACCCCCTGTGAACCCAGCAAACAGCCCATCTCAAGATTTCAGCCAGTATTCAAGTGAGACCTCAAATTTAACACCTTATTGGAAGGATATGCTAAAACCAGAACATGCCTCTTACAGTAGAGATCCTTTAATGGGGTACTGGAGACCACCTGGTGGCTTTGAACTCACTAAAGACTTCCACAGAGCAAGTCAAACTGACGTCCCACCTGCAAAAAACCTACCATCTGTATATTCCTATGGCAAAAAGCATCACCCCTCCATGCAGCATTATTGGCCCAAATACAAGACAAGAATAGGTGCTTCAGTCCAGGCAGGTCAACCCACTGACAGCAAAGAGTTAAGGACTGTAAAATATGCTTCCAACGTCCACTGGCCTCCATCAAGTGGTTCTGTCTCTTTAAGCTTTAATGACCCCTTACCCCAATGGAGAAGAGGTCACATGGGTTATCAAAGCAGCCCACAATACCCGCAAATTCCTCATTATAAGCAAAAACAGATGGACAGAGCTCGCTGGATGTTTACCGCCAAACCCTTGAGTTTCGTTCCCGGATACCAGAAAGTCAGTGCTGTTCCCTTCGTCCTAAATGCCCATGCAAAACATGAGAATTCAAACCTCTACAATCAAAAACCCCTTTCTGCCTTTCAGAAACAACATTACAATAGATTGAGAAATCCAACCCAGAGAGGGCTCACATCTTATGGAGTAAGAAACACACTAGGCTCATTTTCTAAACCACAAAGGCAAACTGTGATGTCTGAACGTTTACAGCCTTTCATGCACTCAAACAGGCACATGCCTCGAGTCAGTGTGAGGCGACGGCCCAGACACTTGGACAACTGGCCTTCTGAACAGCAGCCTAGACCTACAGGTTTGATGCCTAAGTGTGTCATTAAGAGGAACACAAAAAGTCTTCTTCCTCAAGAGTCCCGTAATACATCTCCATCGTCGCCATACGTTAAATCCAAAAACCGCTTCACACGGGCCGTAGCATATCTGTCAAAGGTCTGTTTCACACCCCGTACGGTGCAAGGGAAGAGTAACAATCAGTGGAGACTGGTCAGAAGATGGCATGAATGAAAGGACACGATAACTCAATGTGCAAGACCGGGAAGAATGATGAACACATTTTTGAAGGTATGAAAACCAAAATGTTGTAGTGTTTTTTCTCTGTGAACACATCTGCTGTCCTGGAAATCTGTCCTTTAAATAGAAAATAGAGCATCACATTACTAAGTAAATACTAAAACTGAGCACTGAAACTGGACTGACCTTATTCAACTTTAAAACATCTGTATCAGTCTTATATGGAAGTGTAATGCATTCAGTAGGCAGTTTCCCCCTGTGTTTCTGAATTTGATTTTTTTTTAACATTAATTTTATTTATATAGCACCACAACAGCAGTTGCCTTGAGGTGATTTACACGGTAACATTAAGACCCTGCAATAATACAGAGAAAACCCAAACAATCAGACGACCACATTTTGAGCGAGCGTTTGGAGACAGTGGGAAGGAAAAACTCCCTTTTAAATAGGAAGAAACCTCCAGCAGAACTGGTTTCAGGGAGGGGTGGCCATCTGCTCCAACTGGGGGTGAGAGAGGGAAGACGGGACAAAAGACACGCTGTGGGAGACAGTCAGAGATGGATAAATAATAATTAAATGCAAAATGGTCTATAAACACAGCGAGTGAAGAAGTGCATCATGGGAAGCCCCCAGCAGCCTAGGCCTGTTGCAGTGCAACTAAGGGAGGATTCAGAGTCACCTGATCAGGCCCTAACTATATGCTTTATGAAAAAGGGAAGTCTTAATCCGAATCTTAACAGTAGACAGCGTGTCTGTCTCTTGAATACAAACTGAGAGCTGGCTCCACAGATGAGGGAGCTTTTTATTTACCTGAAGGCTTGATTTCATAAGCATATTGACCTATAATACTAAAACTACTGTTGCAGACTTTCCTGGATATTGCAAAGTTTTGTGAGCTGGTACAGCTTCAGAATATAAGACGTTGCATGTAAAATGCATTAAAGTAGCGCAGGTGCCTCTGATAATGAAATCAAGCTTTTAGGTCCACAGAAGCTCTTTTAAGATTTTTTTTATTTTTTATTATTATCTTCTTCTTTTTTTCTTCCAATGTCTGGATTTTATTTGCAGGTAACATTACTGACAAGTGGTCTATGTAAATAGAAGTATTCATAATCTTAATGGCCATTCTTTAACACCTAAAAACTTATAGATTTATTATAATAGGATTGGTCTTCAGCTGCAAATCAATTTCCTGTTCTTCTACCTACATCGACTATTTCAGTAAGAACCTGAAAGTGTTACAATTTTGACTTGTCTTGATTACCACATTTGACGGTAGTCCTTATTATAATTCTCCAGTGTAAGGATAAAAACAGTTTGCTGGATATATTAGCAGTCCAGAATAAATTCTACAGTCTATATCCATTTAACTTTGTGGACAGAAAAGCAGCTGTAACTGTCTAATAGGTCATCTGCATTTGTTTTAGAGTTGACATCATGTTGGACATGATGTAAATATTGGTGTGAAGATCAGTCTGAATTGACTTTATGGTTCCAAAACAGGATTAAATATTTAAAATGAGTTTTTAAATCCAGGCTCATTATATTCTGTTTGTAATTTATACTGCAATAGGTTCACAGTCAGACATCATGTTTAAACGAAAAATTGATTCCTGAAATGTGTAAGTTGAGATTATTTTCAAAAAGCAATCAAGGTAATCCGATTTACAGGAGAACTACAGTTTTTCGTTTGTTTGTTTGTTTTAGTTCAGATTTGTTTGCTTGCATCTGTATTTGTTTCACGTCAGGCTGCAAGTAAATAACGAAACTAAAATGTGGTAGGATTCATGCTTTATGAATGGATGGTGCTGACTGTTTTTTCTTTTTTGTTGTTATTGTTGTTGTTTTGTTTGTTTTTTAAAGAGAAGTCTCCCTCTACATTAAGATGCATTCACTCAGTCCAGTGAATACATGGAGGCTCTGCTCTTTACCTGTTGCCATGGTGAATCCTGGTACTGGAGCTCTGCTGATGATGGCTATTTTTTACTGCTTACGCACAGGCTTAACTTGAGCTGAACATATTCAGCTGATTGAACTTTCTAGAACCACAAGCAGCAGCTCAGCATTAATCAACTTGGAGTTTGTTGAACCTGCTTCTAAAACAGATCCCATCAAGGCTGTAGTTGAAGTCTTTCTTTTGAAAGTCACTTTAAAGGTAACTTAAGCATCAAGACAACCTAATAAAAGCCACATGAAAAGAACATTGGTGGGGAATGCAAACAAGCAAAGCATGAGTCATTGTTTGCATGTGCTTGAAACATGTTGAAGTGTGGGTGAAAGGGGGCAGGGGAATATGAACTTGATCTTCTCTGGACCTCTTCTGGTGGCCTAACATGTCTTCAGGGGTTAGGAGTAAGGGCTAAAATTAAG